ACATTATGGCCCTGGCTAGGACTTCCAGTACAATGTTGAATAGAAGTGGTGACAGCGGGCATCCTTGTCTGGTTCCTGTTCTCAAGAGGAATGGTTTCAGTCTCTCTCCATTGAGAATGTTGACCGTTGGTTTTGCATAAATGCCCTTTATTATGTTGAGGAATGTCCCTTCTACTCCTATTTTGCCGAGAGTTTTGATCAGGAATGGGTGTTGGATTTTATCAAATGCCTTTTTTGCAAAAATTGATATGATCATGTAGGTCTTCTCCTTTGTTTTATTTACATGGTGGATGATGGTAATTGTTTTTCTAATGTTGAACAATTCCTGTATACCTGATATGAACCCCACTTGGTCATGATGAATGATTTTTTTGGTATGTTGTTGCAGTCTTTTGGCTAGGATTTTGTTGAAGATTTTTGCATCTATATTCATGAGGGATATTGGTCTGGAGTTTTCCTTTTGAGTGATGTCTTTGCACAACCTTGTGTTTTTATATTCTGGTATAGCACTCTGTACTCCATTCTCTGGAGAAGGATGTCATGCTTGGTAAAGTGGAGGGTCAACAAAATAGGAGAAAGCCCTCAACAAGATGGATTGACATGGTGGCTACAGCGAAAAGCTCAGTTATAGTAGGGATCAGAAGACTGGCACAGGACCGGGCAGTTTCTTGTTCTGTAGCACACAAGGCCGCTGTGAGTTGGAGATGACTCGACAGCACATAACAGCAACAACACTACAGCACTGTCTAACTGAAACAGAGAGTAATATGTAATTAAATAAATTCTAGTTGCTCATTAACAAGGTAAAACAGAAAAAGAAAAAACACTGCAATCATTTTAACATGGAATCGAAACAAAATTAATTTTATTTTAACCTTTTTAAAGTAAAAGTCTTCAAAATCCAGTATGTATTCCACTTACAGCAAATCACATTTCAAATGCTAACTTTCCTCAGAAATATTTGAGCTGTATTTATATTTCATAAAATTTACAGTTGGAAATGTATATTCATATATCCAAGAGGTTCCAAACATACTTAAATTGTCCAATAATGGACTTGAATTATCAATTTAAAATGTTTAATCAATTAAAATTTAATTCCTCAGTCATACAAGCCACATTGCAATTGCTGAATGAATGGATACTTGTAGCTAATCACTATTGTATGGCCAGCCCAGGTCTACACTTTGCCAATAAATCAGGTACTGAATGAACGTAAATAGGAGGTAATGAAGGAGGTACAGTAAGGGTAAAAGGGTTGGGTAATAGCACAATTACATAATTTTGTAGCTATTAAAACTATAATCCATACAATCCTCATTTCCATAATGGAAAGGAAGTTTCTAGAAGTTACTACTGGTATGCCATTATTGGTTATTTTCGGACTATTTTTAAAAAGAAAAGTTGAAAGAATCATTTGAATAATTTAGAGAAAGTATTTCTTTAAATGGCACAAAGCTAGATGTCCCTAGCTAATATTTGGAAAAGAAATTAGGAGTCAAAAGGATTTCCACAGGCCAAAAAGGAGGATGTAGCAAAATTAAATTTAACATAGATATTAGTTTGGTCTGGTAAAAATATTGACTTTGAAAGATAGTGATTTATAGAGTACATATGCATGAGATTTAGGAAGAGAGCTCAGTTGACAATACAGTTAATGTACAACAATATAAAATTAATTTAAGCATAAATTGTAATAACAGGATAGCATTATTTAGAACAATGATGGTAGTTCTAATCTCAGAGTCTACTGGTCATATCTAGAGTAATACTAACATACAGTAGCAGGGATATTTGAAATTATGCTAAACACGGAATATTTCTCAAAGTGACAGAAGAATGCTTGGATACTTACTGACCTTTTAAAACTAAAACTGAACCCACTGCCATCGAGCGTATTCCAACTCACAGTGACCCTATAGGACAGAGCAGAACTGCTCCATAGGGTTTTCAAGGCTATAAATCTTTATGGAATCTGATTGTCTCATCTTTTTCCTACAGAGCAGCTGGTGGGTTTGAACCAGCAACCTTCTGATTCACAGTTGAATGCTTTAACCGCTGCACCACCAGAACTCACTGACTTTTTTAAAAGGTGCTTCTAACTTACAAATTCTTGATTATTCCTTGTTTTTACTCACTACTTTGCCAAGAGTTGCCCATAATTTCAGGCAGGGGGTGGGGGTGGGGTGGGGGGAAAATCACGTCACTAAAGGCAACACAGCCCATTGTCACTAACGCACAAATATATTCCTAGCAGATACATTTTCTCAATTATACAACGATTCTAGTTACCAATAGATGCAAACATCTCACCTTATGCTTTATGGGTAGTTGTACTTGATCATTTACATACTAAAATAAATATTATCATTTACCTTTGTGTTACTTCTCCTTTACAATAGGATATTACATTTATTTATTTAACTTTAACTTGTGTAGGTAGGTTATGTTGTACATGAATTCATCTCAACGTAGCAAAGAGGACATTATAACGTATTTGTTAAAATCCACCATCACAATCAGCCTCACTTGAATTACTGGTTTCACAGAAGCAAGGAGTATGAAAGTTAAGTTTACAAAGGCTACTGAACACTACTTCACCTTGACTGTTTTTTTAATTTTGCTTACAAAAACAGCAATGAAAGTTCATTTAAAACAAACAAACCTGTTTTATTGAAACATAAGATGCATATAGTAAAGAGCACAGATCTTGTACACAGCTTGATTTCTTAACATCTGTATTCACCTGTGTGACCAACACTCAGATAAACTTATTTCTAGCACCTTAAAGGACTCCATGTTTCCCAGTATATAAGCTGTCTGAGGTAACTTATTTCTGAGTTCTTCAACATAGATTAGTTTCTCACTGTAAATTATTTTATTTTACTTTCTAGTAGCATTTGATCAGAATACTCTTAATATTTTAGATAATAAACTACACTCTTCCACATACTGCAATTATATTGTTGTCTACTTTCCCTTATTTACTTTGGCCATATGTATTCCTATCTTGTTAAAGCCATTTTTATTATAACTAATTTATGTCTTTTTACTACAATTACAGGGAAACACACTCAGTTCTGTTTTCTGTTATACTAACTACATCATTTGCATCACTCTTATTATTGTGAAAGGAGTGCTGATGGCATAATGCCTAAGCCATTTGACTGCTAACCAGAAGGTTGGTTGGTGGCTCAAACCTACCAACTACTTCATGGAAGGTTGTTGTTGTTGTTATGTGCCGTCGAGTCGGCCCCGACTCATAGCGACCCCTCCTTGGGTTTCCGAGGCAGTATCACTATGGATCCCAATTTGTGGGAGCTCTGGTAGCATAGTGGCTAAGACATTTGCCTGCTAACCAGAAGGCTGGCGGTTCAAACCCACCAGCCACTCCTCGGAAGGAAGGTTGGGCAATCCTACTTCTGTAGTGATACTGCCTCGGAAACCCAAGGAGGGGTCGCTATGAGTTGGGGCCGACTCGACGGCACATAACAACAACAACAACAACTACATTGCCACCTTAGTCACGGCTGTCTGTAACATATCTTCTTGCTTGAGTTTTACCTTCTCTAGAGAGGAATATGAGAAATAATCAGTTTACTATCAATAAATTCAAATTACAATGTCCCTTGTTCATAAAAACAAGCAAACTCAGTATAAAGGAAACAACAGTCTTGTAATACATCTCAAATTCTGGACCTTTTAATACATCCAATAACTACCAACCAGAAATGTATCTACTATAGACGAAAGACAAAACACAGGTTAACACAATGGAATATCTTAATACTACAATGAACAAATACGAAGAAAAGCTACATAAAAAGTTATGTTTCTAAATGAATATACAATATAAACAACAATGTAAAATATTTAAATGCTGTTGTGTGCTGTGGAGTCAGACCCGACTCACAGCGACCCCTCCTTGGGTTTCCGAGGCAGTATCACTATGGAAGTAGGATTGCCCAACCTTCCTTCCGAGGAGTGGCTGGTGGGTCTGAACCGCCAGCCTTCTGGTTAGCAGTCAAGTGCCTTAGGTACTATGCTATAGTAGACTGATTTAGAGTTGGGAGTTTGGCATTGTGTCTGATTTTAGATATTCTATTTAATTCACCGTTCACTTTATACTAACAACACTTAGCATATAAAACCTCATATAAAACCATATAATCACAAGCAATGTTTCATTTTACAAACCTTTCCAAAGTCACGAGTCAGGACTATTAACAATGACTGCATTGTCCTTTGTGATACAAGTCTTTGAACTCAAGGATCTTAAAATCTTTTTGACTATGTACACTGTCTTCAATGGACTGTACTACATATACTTAGAAGTAAAAAACAAAAAGTGCTATATTATGTAGGAATTAGTTCATCTGGGACTAGCCAAGCCAAGCCTGTTTTCGTAGAGTGGATTCTGACTCAGTGACTCTATGTTGTTGTTGTTGTTATGTGCCGTTGAGTCGGACCCGACTCATAGCGGCCCCTCCTTGGGTTTCCGAAGCAGTATCACTATAGGACAGAGTAAACTGCCCCACAGTGCTTCCAAAGCTGTAAATCTTTAGGAGAGTAGACTGCCCCCTCATCTTTCTCCCACAGAGTGTCCAGTGGGTTTGAACCATTGACCTTCTGGCTAGCAGCTGAATGCCTTAACCACAGCACCACCAGAGCTCCTTCATCTGGGACTCAAACAAAAACTCAAACTCACTGCCATGGAGTCGATCCCGACTCATAGCGACCCCTCCTTGGGTTTCTGAGGCAGTATCTCTTACAGAAGTAGATAGCCCAATCTTCACTCCCAGGAATGGCTGGTGTGTTTGAACCACCAGCCTTCTGGTTAGCAGTCAAATGTCTTTGGCACTACGCCACCAAAGCTCCTTCGTCTGCGACTAGTTCTAGGAAATTATCTTAATATTTACAGTCATGTCCCTAGTTCATAAAAATAAGCAACCTCAGTACAAAAGGAAGTCTCTTAACAGATTTCAACCTCTAGACATAAGTAGTGATAGGAACTAGACTTAAAGACTCTTCTTTTCAGGTATAGCTTCTAGCACAAAGAACAAGATTCAAAAATTATTCATTTCTTTAGGTTTCTTCTAAATTTGGTCAGTTACTCCTTTGAGGGATTTGACCCAACTTAACACATATTCTTTTTAAATAACAAGACAGCTGCTTCATGAGCATATTAACTGAAGAATATGAATACTACCACTGTTTGGTCCCATCTCCAATGCCAATTTAGGTATTAAAAATAGTGTTACATGCAGCTAGTCTGATATAGAACAAAGAATTTGGATCTAAACATCCAAAATAATTTTCTGGAGTCTCCCTTTTATAAATCTGTGGCAGTCTCACACTGGGAACTCTTCAGCCTCATTTTCATTACTTAACAGAACAAAACAAGTATATTTGGCTTACTTCTGAATACAGAAACGAGTGAAAGACAGCACCCATACTCAAAGCACCATTTACTAGGGGAAAAAAATTATCCCAATATTATTTAGATCATATATGAAATAGCCAAACATTCTAACATCATAACTCAAGTGCAGGAAACACTTCCTGTGCTCCTAAATTTGTTTCTGGATTGGAACTCTTTAGATTGGATGTGAAATAACACAGGCATTCCGAAACTTTCATCATTTCTAAACTTTAACGATTTTAAATACAAACGTACAATTCAACATTAGAAACCATTTCCAACATTTAAAGCCAAGACAGAATAAGGAAACATATTACAAACCTAAGTCCAAATTAAACTTTCTTGGAACTTCTGCCAACACACACACTCACACAGCTAATATTTCGACCTTGTTTTAGGCAGTATGAGATTACTCAGAAGACTGACCTTTACAGTCATTCCTCAAAGGGCTATTGAATAGTTCGAAAAGCTCCACTAATTCAAAACATATCACACAAGTCTCGCTCTAATAGAGAAAAACTCAGGCATACCAGTAAGCTTTTAATATTTATAAACTTTCATTTCTTTCTTTAAGGAGGGTAGAGAAAGTAAGCTCCAAAAGAGCTAATTTAGGCAACCTTTCCAAACATTCAGAGTATCATGGAATTAACATTTTAACAGTATAAAAATGAGATATTTTATTCAACTGGAAAAAGTAAAACAAAAATAATCCTTAGTTTTATCCCAGAGGGACTAAAATAGAGAGGATAAAAACATTAAGTTTAGCAACCACCTGAAAAAAGCATTGTAGTAATCAAGGACCTCCCCCCTGCGCCCGGAGGGGTAATAGTAAACTACCGAAGCAATAGCTCCATCTACTGATCAACATCACTTCCTTAAACATTTTGGCACCCCAAGTCTATAGTGCTCGCGTTCTCTTCCCCTCCTCCTCCCGCTCTGACCCAACCCAAATCTAGTTGAGTCACTAGGTCTTAATACTCATCTTCATGCTATTTATTTTAATTCCTTTCCCCTCCAGAAGGTTCTGCACGCCTCCCAAGTGCGAATAAAACTGTAAGATGTCAAACAGTGCGGTTCCTAGGGTTCAGTCTGTATCTGGTGACCAACCAAACCATTCCACATGGATTGGCGGGCCGGACCCTTATCTGGTGGCTCTGCAGTGCGCTCCCGGGTTAGGAGGCCCAGGAACGCCTTACAATAGCTTTTCCCTGTTGCCCCATTCAGTCGCTAGTTTCCACTCACAAGCCACACTCGTCCTCCGGGCCAAAATTCTGAGTTCCCCGGGTCTTGCCTCTGCGGACTCTTAAGCCCGCCAACAGTCAGAGCCCTGCCTCCGCCCCCTCCGTAACAGAGTGAACTGAAAAACCCCAGAAATCTCCCTCCGCATTTGTCCCGTCTTCTGAGTCTCTCCTTCTTTGCAGCCTCTCTCCCTCTAGACCGGCCCAGGTCCCTAGTCTCCGAGGGCCTGGCCCTACCCCGCTGCCTGTCCTCACCCTTTCATCTTCTCCGCCTGCTGAGGCCGTCGTTACCACCGATATCAACGCCGCCGTCGTCGTCACCGCCGTGAGCTCTCCGCGTCCTCAGCTCGGCCACTCAACCCTACCAGCCGGCCTCCTCGCTTGGAGCAGGGAGCTTAAGCGGGTGATGGAGGCCGCGAGAGTCGAGCGCGCCGCTGCGTCTCCCGAGGGCAAAGGGGGTGTCTCCTACCGCCGCACTAGTGCCGCTGCTTCTCCACACGTGCACACGGAACGCTCGGCTCCCGCCCGCCGCTCCCCGCCAGACCCGCCGCCTTAGTGTGACCTTTCACCCCGCCCTCTCTGCGCGCCGGCGCGTCCACCGCCTCTCGCGCAGCCGCATTACTCGCTTCCATACACCCTTCCCCCTCCATCCCAGGCCCTCCATCTTTTTACTGGACTACGCCCTCTGGCGTCAATCTCCTCCTTCCATTTCACACGACGCTGCTTAAGGGTTTGGCGTATGTGCTTTGGCGGTAAAAATCCAGATTTTTCCATCACTCCCTCTCCTTTCTCACTTCAACTAGTTCACTCTTCTCAACTCTGTTCTCAGCTGGTAGTCTCCAGAGTGACCTTCAAATGTTCCTGCCTTCTAATGGGATTTTATAAAGCTGATTTTCAGTGTAAACAAGTCCGTGTGAAACTTAGTAAATGAGGAGCTTTTAAAACGAGTAACTGCGATGAACAAGCGGCCAGATAACTTGGCATCCATCCAGCTCTCAAGTTTTGAAGTCACATGATTGGCTCAAACCTTGCGGCTTGGGATTTTACCGGCAGGTCCCAGAAGGACGGAACTCCATCGCCATTTCCGGTCCCTAGGTCGTCCTGTGACCGTCACTTCCTTGGCAATGCACTTTAGCCCT